TACTTAATAGTAAATAAATAAAATAATATATAATATTATATATATATATATATATATATATATATACATATAAACTAAACTTGCAATGTTATATATTTCATAAATATTAATAAAACATATGAAGAATAACAGTGACATCTAACGGCAATATATATTGGTCAAAATTTCATTTGTTAAAATTTTTCATACGGAAAGTATACTATATATAAATGATAACGAAGAACTATAACATAGCATGACTTTGAAAAATTTTGCTGAATCATGATGTTCAATATAATAATATCCAATTTTCAATAAATTAAAATATATCTTAACTATATTAATTTAATTGAAAAAGATATTCTAAAGAAATAAAAATTTTAAATAAATTATTTATTTTTATAAAAATAATTATTTCTATGAATTGTAATAAAATTTATTTATTTTTATTATTTTTAAGATTAAACTATACTTTTTATATAAAAAATTAAAAAAATATATGGTTTATAAAAATTTAAATAATTATGATTTTCAATTCGTCAAATTTTAAAACGATGTCTTTATGTATACACATTATGTCTAATGTAAAATTTTAATTTATTTTTTTTAATTTATATATATTGCACTATAAAGTTATTATTAATTTTAATAAAATATATATTATTAATATTTTTATGTTAAAATGCTTGAAATCTAATTTTTTTTAATAAATAAACAATAATTTTTTAATTTTCATATATTTGTAATTGTAAATTTAATGAAAAAATTATTATAAAATAAAAATCATAATAATAAATATTGTTTTTAAATTAATAAATTTTATTATCTTGACTAACATCAAACAAATAAAAATCTTATATAGTTCTCGGCATACAATTTAGTAGTGGGGTAGTATGTTATAGAACATAATCACATCAGTATAGGTGCTAGAGTAGCCAGCACCGGCATGTTATCAGTACATGATTGAGGTTGTACGATACGGTTTAAACGATATAATTTGACAGATACTAATTTAATTTTTCAAAAAATCATTTTAAATTTGTGCAAAAATTATAAAATACACGCATAACGCGAAATTAATCAATCATAAAGAAATATCGTTTTATTCTTCATCACTCAAGAACTGGTGGTCAAAATGGCGGAAAAGAATGACTCGCCGGGTTCCACTTCAACTTCTACCGGACATGAAAGTCAACCACTACTTTCAAGTTTTATAACTGAAATTGTAAAGAGTCCAATAAATCTTGTTTTAGTAGGCGTAATTGCCCTTTTGGTTTACAAAATTGTTAAAAGTAAGACAAAAATTGAAGAACCTGTGAAAGAATAAAAAAACTGCCACAATTGCGTCGTGATTTTACACTTGAAGAATTAAAAAAGTATAATGGTAAGGGACCAGATGGACGAATATTAATTGCTATAAACGGTAGTATCTATGATTGTACCCGTGGTGCCCACTTTTATGGTCCTGGTAAGCATATAATCTTTTACTAATTTATATGATTAGAAATGAGTTCATATCGTACACAAAATTACTTAATTGTTATATTTTCTTACCTACCTCAATTTTTTAATGTTTCTTCATCTTCGTCTTGGTTATCGCTTGACCTCTGCTTACGTAAAATAATTTACAAACATCATGAATATTAATCATGATAATTATGATATAAAAACATGACTTGAGATTAATAGTAGATGACTTACATTTCGGTCATTATTTAATTATGACATTCAATTACAATATATAAAAAATCTCATTAAATAAATTAAAAAATTTATCTATAAAAATAATTAACAAATATAATTATTTTCAACTTTTTTTTTTTAAATATTTTATTTATTTTTATCTATTTTATTTTATAGGTGCTCCATATGAAGTATTTGGTGGAAAAGATATTAGTAGAGCCTTAGCAAAATTTTCATTGGAAACATCACAGGAATATGATGATCTAAGTGATTTGAAAACTGGAGAAATGGAATCTATAAGAGAATGGGAAGAACAATTTAAAGGTAATTATTTAAGATATATTTTTTCAATAAAGAATATGAAGTTATAAAATACAAAATGATATTTGTTACTTTAATTTTAAAAAAATATATTTTTAGAATTTTTTTTATGTATCTTAATATTAATGTATCATCATAATAAATCTTTATATATTAAATTTTAGTTTATAAAATTTGAGATTAAATTTATTTTATATAGTTTAAATTAAAATTACATTAAAATTAATCATACTATAAATATTATTATTTTCATTTTTTTTATTTTAGAAAAATATGATTATGTAGGAAGATTATTAAAACCTGGTGAAGCACCTACAAATTATTCAGATGAGGAAGATGAAGGTAGTCAACTTGAAAATGAAACAAAGTCTAAGAATGATTGACTGTTTGATTTTATATCAAATGTTAAACAGTCAAAAGGATATTGCGCACACACCATTGAAAGAACTCTTAAAATTGTAGCTAATGAACATATTTATGGACATTTATCTGGATATTTTACTACATCATAATGATAAAATAAAAATTAAAATGGTATCTTTTGATCAAATTAAAAATATATGATTATTCAAAATTGTTATATGTAAAGACTTTCTTTGAGTATCCAATTTTTCAATCAACAAGGATACTTTAATAGTATAATGTTTTTATATATGTACAAAAGATTTCTTATACACATCTATAAAACTGGCACTAGAAATAAGAAAAGTTTTGGACTATATTCCATTAAATATCTTTGTTTATATTCATTCACACCATATAGCATTTGGTACATGTATACATGTATTTGGTATCTGTAATCTTTAATAAAATGGTGTTATATTTTATATGCATTTGAAATTTAATATTAAGTTAATGCAGTATTCTGCAAATTTATATTATGAGAACAATAATTGTTTCTTAAAATAAAAACATTATGCTTTTTAAAAACAATATGATACCATCTTAAAATATAATACAATTTCAATTGTTACTTAATTAAATCTATTTTCAAAAATATATATTAAGTATTTCAAAATTTAATTATGAAAAATTTTTGAAAACATTGCTTACAAAATAATAAAATTCCATTTGAAAATTTATAAAAAAACAATACATGTTTACTAGTCTTTTATATATATATATAAAAAAAAAGAATATACATAAAACTTAATTTTAATATGTTGTATAATTGTTATTAATATATTGCAGAATTGCTAATATTTGCAATATTGTTTATAACATGACAAATTCTTTATTATCATGCAATTATTTAATAATTGTTTTCAAATTAAAATAAAAAAAAAATAACATTATTGGGAAATCAGTACACATGTTATATGTTATATAATTTTAATATATATATGCATTTTCTTAATAATTAATGCAATTAATCTAATCTTAGTTCTGTTTTATAATAAAAAGATATATAATTAATATTAATTACAGTAAATAATGAATTTTAATTTTTTTAATTGTTTAAGAAATGATATTAATAAATTGATATTAAATAGTTATATATAATTAAATGGAATTTATTTGGTCTTATTTATAAAATTGATATTTTCATTGATTTTCAAATAATTGTAGAAAAAAGAGAAAGATTTAAGTAATTTAAATAAAAATTTATGTGCAATATTCTAGAAATGAAATGTGCAAATGATACTGTATTCTATATACTGCATTTATGCCACAATGTTTTCAAAAAAAACATTCCCACAAAACAAAAATATTTGTAAATTCTGTAATTATATCATATCAATATTTCATATTTATATATAATTTTGATTTCAATATCAAAATTTTTGAAAAAAATTGCATTTTTTTTAATACTATAATACACTTTATGCAGATCATATTCACTTAATTTTTGGTACAACAAATCATGTGATAAGAGACTGAGTGAATTTTTTGAAAAAATTTTTATTGTTAATTTTCTTTATATTTCACTCATAATAAAAATGATGATGTTGTTCTAATATATATTTGTATATGTACAATTGTTCTACATACATATTCTTTTAATTCATATAAAACCAATTCGTTTAAATTAAAGTTTTAATTAAATAACTTGACTAAATTAAATATATTTAATAATAATATATTACTTTGTTGTATATGTAATTTATTAATTAATGATTTATTGTTTTATTTCTACTTTAAGATGAATATGAAAAACGTTATTTCGTATTATATTTTTTCTGTTACATGATGTGGTACATTTGTGTGTTAATTACTTAATCAATTATTATATTGATCAGTTATTATATTGAAATTTATGTAAGATTATTTATAGAAAGTGTTAAATATTGATGTTGCAATGTACTTTTTGTTATCAAAAAATGAGTAAATAGTTTGTAAAATGCAGATGTAGATATTCAATTGTTATATTTGGGTGATATTAATTCTTGTTTATATTAAAAAAAAAATTGTTTCTTTCAAGCAAATTGTTTATTTATTTGTACTTAATTTATTCCTTAACATACTTAAATTCTTGTTATAATACTATATTATATATAATTGCTATATTATATATATACAGTCATGATTTTAATTTTCTAAAATTTTAAAAATATGTATATTGCATTAAAAGTTTTTTTCTATTACAATAAAAATTTATTTTTATTTTATTAATTTGTATTATTTTTGCTAAGATTTCTTTAAATTAAATAAATTAATTTAATGAAATTAATTAAATATTATATTAAAATATTATAATTTGCAAATTGTATAAACAAATATTTATTTTGCAAATTGTTATTAAATTATATAAATATAAAAAAGTAATGAATAAATGTATTTAATTTCAAATTTGTAATATATAATATATAATATATATTAAATGTTTGATTTCATCTATGTCTGTATATATACATAATTCAAAAGAGTAAATTCATTTTAAAATACACATTTTTTAGAAATAATATTTTTTATTTATATTTTACTTTTTATTTATTCAATTATTATAAAACAATATATAAAATATATTTATTATATATCTTAAAAAAAAATATATTAAAACAATTATTCATATTTCATATCATGTCACAATTAAATTATATTGATTTTTTAAATGCTAAAAAACTAAATTATTATAATAATATTTAAAACATGTTTCTATAAAAAAATCTGAAAAATAGAAAAATATTTTCAAGACATCTTTAAAATAATCATATAAGCATAACGAGGGTTGTCTTTGATTTATGATGTAACGTCATTTAACTGAACTTGGAGATTTATCTCAACCTGTGAATAGTCTTTTTATGACTTTGATACGATTTGAACACAAACGACCTTGCTCCTATAATTCATGGGAATTGTTCAATTATTTTAAAAAAATAATGAATAAATGTATTTATAATTCCAAAATTTTTTTCGGTAATTTTGTATCATAAAACTTTAAGAAAGAATATTTTTTATTATTTTAATTTTTTATTATTATTCTTTATTGTAACAATATATATTTCTCTGTATTGTTGTAAACTTTTTTCAATTTCCAGCAAAATATTAAGGACTGTAGTAAGAATAAGATCAAGATTCAAAAAATGACCTTGTGTCTTTAATCTATCACAATTATTTGTTACGCAAATATATAATCCATAAACTGGTATTGAATAATTAGAATTTTTGCACTAAGAAAATTATATATTCTTTTTTTATTTAATGTAAGATTAAAATTATTTTTACTATATATTCGTACTTTATTTATGATAAAGTGCATAACAAATTAAATTTATAATTATTACAAATAATATGAGATGGAATCGTATCGTATCGACGGCGAGATTACAAAAACTGCGTCCCTTATCACAGTAGATAACGATGGCGATATCAGTGACTCAAAGCTAGCATGAAAATAACCCATTTGGTTTATAACAATTGAAATGTAACATTAATATAATCAATATTAATTTTTATTATGCAATTAGATTTTTTTTAATAATTTAATATATTAATCAAAATTAAAAATCGGTTAATGCATCTTTTATAGATATTTTGATTATTTCTTAAAAATATAGGAATACATTACGCATTATGTTATATAGAATTATTTTATAGTTAATAACAATTATTATTTTATTATAAAATATAATAGAAAATGTATATATAATATAAAATTAATCATCTAATGAATAAAAAATTAAAAAAAAATAAGTTAATAGAATAGCATCATTAACACTGTAACGTTTTTTTTTATGAATACTTTTACGTAACACTTGGGTAAGGACTATCGATAAATTTTCATGATGTTTGCTATTTTTACATATTTTCTCTGTATATATTATTCTTTACAAATAATTTAAAAAGATACAGTTCGAAAATGAATGAAATATTCGAAAGTTTTTTAAGAAATTGAAAACATACATAGTCAATTCTAATACTAATTATATTAAACATAAATCTGGCAACAATGAAAGGGTTCAGTCTCGGTAAGTCTCTAAACATAACCTATCTAATATGATTTCCCGCGATTTTATGAAATGTTTCTTTATGATAATATATGTTGTCATGGTAATTGATAAATAATGATATATTGAAATAAATATAATTTAAATATAATATATTCTATATCGCAATAAAATATTAAAATGAACTTGTGAATTATAGTATATTAATATATATAATTAATATAACACAATTTTATTTCTTATTTTATTTGATTTTTGCTAATTTTTTTCTTATTTATATATTTATTTAAGATTTTAAATTCAGAATTTAAATTTGATATTGTATTAGATTTTTACAATAAAATACAATGTTTTCAATAACATTAATGCATAATAAATCATAATTTTTATATCTTAAGATTTTATGAATTAATAATATCACAATATTAATATTATTAATATTAAAAGAAATTATGATAATATTATATTAATATTGTATTTTATAATATATTATAAAATTTAAAATCAAAGTATTTGGTTTTTTTTTAGTTTTAAAGAATAAAGAATTATAAATGAATAGTTATTATTTTTCAAGAAAACTTATAAAATATTGATTTTTAATATTTTTTTGAGTTATAAATTTGAATTTTATAGTTCTGATTTTGCCAAAATATAATTATAGATAATATAGACATAAAAAATCTTATATTTTTTAATGGCATACTTGTGAAATGATGTAATGAAAGTAATTTAAAAGTTATAAAAAATATTATTTCATTTTTTTATCTTTCAATTTATTTTTTAAAATATATATTATAAGAAACAAATTTTGAAGAATAGGTAATAAATTATACAATTATACAATTTTTAAAAAAATTAAAAATTTATTATAAATTTTTTTTTGTTTCAATTATTAAATATAAATGTCATAATATTAAAATAATCAATAGTTAATATCATAATGTTGGAATATTAAATTAATGAATCTAAGATTTATTTTTATAAAATTAATTATAATATAATTTTTTAAATATGTAATATCTAAGATATAATTCGCAATTAAAGTTTCACATTTTTTTATAAAGATAATGAATTTTTTTTAATGATTTGAATAAATATTAACATTTGTTATAAAATAATATAAATATTATTAAAAAACTATAATTGATTTTGAAAGAATATTAAAAATACATTTATTAAAAGTAAAATAAAATTCATCAGTAAAAATAACATTGAATATTTGATATCGTATTTTAAATTAATTAATTATTTAATTATTCTTATTATTATATAGTATATAAGTAAATATTATTAAGAGATTATCAAAAAAATTATTAAGCTCACTTATTCTTAATAATTAAAATTAAAAAAAATAACGGATATAAGCGACTAGCAACACCTCATAAAGAATCGCTGTCGCTGTCACTGAAATGGGTGGCTAGGTGGCTGCTGCCACGGCGTCATCTAATTCCCGTCCCATTTCCAATACTCCCTCTCTTCTCATGTTCACCTTTTTCTTTACACAATTCTGTGTATCTGACACTATCGTGCGCGTGCGAGCGCACACAAACGCATATCTGAAAGAGCGAGAAAGAACAAAGTAGAAAAAAGAGATGGAAACAAGTTCACGCACAATATATGCGTGCACTGAGTCGCGTGCCGTTCGCACCTATCACGAGTCAGATTTTCTTTCTCGAACAGAGGACGTTCTGCGCAACGCAAACTCCCCACCTTGTATATGTGTACATTCTTCCTTTTAACCTGTCGATCGAGAAATCCCTGGCCATCTTGTAATGATATCCCTTTATCACTCTTGATTTTGTCAATGCAGTAATAAATACAATTTTTGATTTTCTTATTATTCCTAATATGCAAATAGATATTTATTAAAAGAAAGTTTGTAGATACAAATTCATCATGAACATAATCATACAAATATTTTAATTTTATAATTAAAAAGAGAAAGCGATGTGGATATTTATACACATAATTTACAAATTTCAATGAATGAATCATGCATAAAAATGTTCAAAAAATAAAATTTTTGAAAATCAATAAATACTATTTAAATACAGAATTAATTGCTAAATATAATTTTGTAAAGGAATATGATCTGTAAAATAAAAAAATGTAGTATATTTATATATTTAATGATTCTATTATTCGTATTACATAATACTTGCAAAAATCCTGAAGGTTATGTCGAAAAAGGTGTATATTCATAATCAACATTTTAATACAATTTTATAATTTAATACAAATTTAATAAAAAAATAGTTTTATTTCGAGAAAAATATTATATATGTAAAATTTATAAATGTTTTACTTATAACACATTACAATAAATATTAAAAGGTTTATGTATATATAAATATAAACAGAAAAAAATTTTAAATAATTTAAAAAATATGTACATAGAAATCATAAATTACAAAATATTTTAATGAATTTGTCTTGAATATATAAATTATATCATGCAAACTACTATCCCAATATTTTCCAGTAGCAAGAAACAATTAGGCTAGAATTTTTTCAATTTTTTTGAATTTTGAATATCACTAAAACGAAGTAAATTGTTAAAAGTACTTTATTATATAATTTTATCGTATTGTTAATTTTTTTTATAAACGTATTCTAATACCAATAATAAATCTAATTCAAGAAGCATCTTACAACCACTATGCAGGACCGGCCTTTATCAAATGGCGGCAGAGGAATAAACGAAATTCTCGCGGCTGTTGGACCGGCGGCGTGAACGTAATCACAGCGTTCGTGGCCTCGCAGCAGTTTGACCAATAATAGCAAGTGATTAGGTCACATGATCATGTAGACCAATCAGATGGCTAGTCTAATGTCACGGCAACTATACGGAACCAGTCGGACATTTTCTGACAAGCGTAGAAAAACTTCTCGTCAACAGCAGCCGCCATTTTACGTTAGCCGATACTCGTGCGGTGCAGAACTCTCGCGATCGCTTTTCCCGAGCGAATTTCTGTGGCGCGCGGTGGCCGCCCCGGAGCCGACTCATTTGTTCGTCTTTGCCTCCTGGCGTCCGTGATTGCCTCGAATGTGTGGGGAAAGCGAGCCGCGTCCGCGGTGATCATTCGCGCGCCCCGTGTCGCAGTGTACCAAGGCGAGAGAAGAGGAGAGAAAGATGGTGCCAGCGGGCCTCAAGAGCGATATCGTTGCTGTGAGCTAGCGCCGTGCGCGCAGCCAGTCCGCCACACTTGAGTGTTTGACGAGTCGTGAGCGACCGTCTAGACCGAATATAACGTGAGAACTCGTTTGGTGGTGTGTGCATTTAATCTGAGTGGTGATCCTCAGAATTACGATACTGATAGTCTTGTTAATTTCTTGGCCTGTTCTCGCGCGAGTGGTCCGTGCATCTATCGAAAAATTTACTGTGTGTGTAGGCTTTAGCGCGGGGTTCGACGTACCCCCGACGATGCCCAATGGTTGATCGTGTATCGAAGCGTGCTCGGGGACGCTCCACGCGCCGCGGTTTTCATTGTTATTGTCATGCTTGCGAATATGCTAAGAGCTTGGTGAATTTTTGCGGCTTCACCGAGGAGGAGGAAGCAGCAATACTAGCAGTAATAGCAACAGCAGCAGCAATCTTCTAGTGGCGTAGTGCAGCGTTTCGCCCGTGTGTGTACCCGTGTATACGTGCCTGCGTGCGTGTCTGCCTGCGTGCGTGCGTGCGTGCGGTCGTCCCGACTTGCTGCCGCCGCCGCCGCGTACTTGCTACCGGGAGTAAACAGCCTGAAAGAAGAAATAATTAATCCTATAAAGAAACCATGGCCGACCACCTGGTGGACGGCCCGCCGAATAAGCGGCCGAAGCTGGGGGATCCTTTTCAGGGGACTTCGGATTCCGCAGGTAAGTTTCTTAATTTCATCGCAAAACTTTGCTGAATTAGTCAGGGTTGCTACGCGACTAACCTTCAGGGATAAACGTCGCAAGTAGCACATAGGCGTTTTTAATTACATGATATATGCACATATCTTTCTTATTATTAAGAAATATATGCTCGTCGTTGTTTATCAAAGACACACTGTCAATTTTTTGACGGGTGCAATCCTTTGAGCAAAGTTATTATATATTGATGTTTTTCTTAAGAATAAAACGGTTTTTCTTAAGAAATAAAACCTTCTTTCTGTAGTCTTAGTCTTTTTTTTTAAAATATATTCAAAAAATAATATCTATTTTGACAATATTTTTATGTCGTTTTTGAACTTTTAGGAGTGCTGTGGTTATAGCTGATTGTTTCATTTTGTGTTACAAGTGTTATCCTTTGACAGGATCCTGTATTCAACATATCTTAATATCAATTAATTTTCTTTTTTTTATTGTTATGTATAATGATCGGAATTATATTTGACTGATAGTTAACTGTTTATAAACTAACCTAAATTGTTCAAGAAATATCGATGCGGAAATTATAATATAATATTGCTAATTGTTTAACGCGTTGTTATTAATGTGATTGAATAATGTAAAATTATTTTCTAAAATTCTAAATTAATAATCAATTTATTTATATAAAAATCAATAAATAATAATACTTCATAATTAGTAATACTCAATTATATCACAATACTGATGTTGATGATATTTTAATCAGAATTTTCATCTTTTTATATAATTTAATCTTAATTAGTAATTTTTTATATACTATTTCATTAAATAATTTATTTGAAAATTTCATCAAAATCATTTGACAATTGTTAGGCAATTTGCATATAGTGTATAAATTTTGCTCAGAGGTCATAAAAGTATTCCGTGTTTAAAAAGTAATTGTTTGTATTACATAATCTATAACTTCTTGTCTTGTTGCACGTTCTTTCTCTTAATTAAAATTTAACCTAAACAAAATAATAGTATTTTGTAAATTTTTTAGTCATCATTAAATTTAGTTCTTCTTTTATTTTTGTAGTGCATGGCAAATGCATGAAATTTAAATAATTATTAAAAAAAAGATATGCTGGCATGATTGATGCGCTAACCATCTCTTGATTCTTATTTTCCTTAAGTGCTACTTGATCACCTTAACAGTTTCTGAACTCAATAATAATATTTCATATAATCCCATATTAAATCAGTAATGACTGTGCCACTTAAATACTTGATGTATCAATCACAAAATTTAGTCAGGTTACACAAAATAAGTGGCAGACATAGTCTTTATTATTTAGGTTTATTCATATTAATTAAATTACTTTATTAAAAAGAAAATTTAGGCTATTTCTGCTGCTTAAAAGCTGTGATCCCGAAAGCATAGACAGTTTTTCTACAGTCTGAAATAAAAACTGTGATATATGTAGTGGGTATGGCGCCTCTAATGATGCACCATGCTTATACAAACTACGGGGGAGGTGGCAGTGGTAACATGCAACAAATGCAGGGCCCGCCACAACAACAACATCTACAACAGCATCAGCTGCAGCCACATTGGAACAACCATACCATCCAGAAAAGAAGTAAATATTATTACAAAACCCAGCAAAAAGTTCAAAAATATTAAATTTAGCACTACAGAATTTGTTTGTCTGTCCATTCATCTCATTTATTAGTATCATAAAGTATCATAAAGTTGTAAAATCATTTAATTACTTTCAATTTTTGTCATAATTTACTGCTAAAATGATTAAAACATTTTTATATTGTTCAAAAAATGTATATAGTTTTGGCATATTGTCACTATGGTTCAATAAAATTATTTTATTATTGTTATATGTAAAACTTAATGAACATAAGGATTACATTGTTTACTTATATAATAGAATATAAGAATAAATAAATGCAACAAATGTATTGTTTTATATTTGAGAGAAATTTGTTTCTTTTATAAGATACTGGAGAAAAATTGGATCACTCTGAATATTGTAAAAAATAAAACATTTTAATATATAATATTGAAAATATAAAAAGTTATGCTTTAAACACTTTTATGTGTGATAAATGTAATATGGACATGCGACACACATGTACAGAGCTCTAAAATTTTATACCAAATTAAAACTATTAAGTTTTGTTGTATAAATTTTTTAAATAAAATGTGATTATATGTTTAATAAGATAAAATTAAATTAGGTTGTTAGGTAGGTAATTATAATGTTTTGTATATAATTGTTTTTATATTTATTTATAGGTAATTGATACTATAATTAAAATAAACTGATTTATATTAATTGTAAGAGTTTCAGAAACTTTTTTTTAATGTTATAGCATTAAAAAAATATTCCATTTATAATAATAATTGTAAATACTCTTTAGAGTGATTATGATTTCTTCGCATGACTGTCTACTCTAAAGTTTGCCATTAGTAGCTTTGCTGCTTTTGTAGTTTAGCACGTCTTTATTGTGAAGAAATTTTTATTCTGCTGTAATATAAACTTCTTTAAGTTATGCTCACACATTGTATGTCTCATGTCTTATTTATTTATGTATATGTTTTTTATATTTAAATGTAGTTTGTGTAGAAATTCATATTGTTTTATTTTCTTTTTTTTTTTATATATATATATTTTTTTTAAATTTGCATTTGACCCCTTTTTTCTCCGTTGTTGTATGGTCAATTATGTAAGTAAGTTAAGGAAATATTTTTATATGATAAATGTATTTTAAACATTGTAGGTTAGTATAATTTGAACAAATATAATTTCTTACAATTGAAAATATGATATGTATATAAATGTCAAAAAATTTATGCATGTATATATATATATATATGCATGTATATTTACATGCAGGTATATTTTATAACATGCATTTATATTACATGTGGTAGTATGAAAATTTTATTAAATCTTTAGATAGAAGCTATGGTGACGGTGATGAATCTTATCTTTATATCATTTACTAATGGTTTTTTGGTCTCTATGGTATATGTTACATTTAATATCATAATCTAACAATATTTTTAACTAGTTATCTAGAAAAGTAATTCTTCAGTCATGGTGTTGAACTCTCTTATATATTATAATATATAAATACATCCTATATATATATATAATAATATATAAATATATATATATCTGTAAATAAAGAAAATGTTTAGTTTCAAGATAAAACATGCTTAGTATCATGATGCAGCATCTATGATTAGGCACTTTACTTTTGTAGTAACTAGTATCTTTTACAGCATTGTATATATCAAAATACTTTCATTACTAATGAAAATGTTTATTCTCAGATTATATAACAAACACAGATATGTTTGATCTTGAAAATGATCTACCTGATGATCTATTGTCATCGGGATCTTGGGGTTCTGCAACTGAAAGTGCTAAACCACCAGCAACAGGTCCAGGTCCAGGGCAGCAAAATGGTGCTCTTGATTCAGAACTTAGACAACATGTACAGCAACAGCAACAGCAACTTTCGCATCATCTCATACAACAGCAAGTTCGTATATATATATATTTATAAAATATGCATATATATGTCCTATATATATAAGCATATAAGTATAAAAAAAATGACTAATTCTGTTATTTTTTGAAACAGGGCAACAAAAATTTAGTTGCCAATTCATTAGCAATGGCTGCTGGAACTTTGGGTAATAAAAGTCCGAATATGCAATCTCCACCAAATGTTTCTGTCTCTAAAGTTGTTGATCCACAAATGGTTGTGAGTTTGGGAAATTTACCAAGTAGTATAGCCAGTTCCTTGGCAAATAATCAAATGTCCATTGCTAATTCGATGGGAGGCCTTCAATCGTCAATGAGCATGGCTGGAAGTAATCCTACCATGTCAATGCCAGGGGGAATTAATTCTGCTTTAGTTATGACCAGCAGTGCTAGTGGAAATAATACTATGGGTGGAATGGCAGGAGGAAGTTTAATTGTAACCAACAGTTTGAATAAACAACCTATAAATACTGTGAGTATTCAAATTAAAATATAAAGAAAAAATTTATATGAATTTAAGAAAAAAAAAAAAACCTAAAATTTATTTTTTAGGTAACTATGATGGGTCCTAATACTCAAGGAATTCATCACCCTAGTGGACCACATGGTGTTGCCCAAATGCAAAATGGACCTGGAATAATGAATACTAGAGCTGTAACAATGCAACAACAACAACAAGCTCATATGGTTGGTCCAGCTCGAGGTCAAAGTCCACATCAACAAGTACATCAAGTTGGTATTGTTGGTCCTGGTCAAGGAGGTCCAAGAATCCAGGCTCCTCCAAATATGACAAGCATGCCAAATATGGGACAAATAGGTGCATCAAGTCCTTATTATGGTAATTATATCAATTATGTTGTATGTAGTCAGAAAGTAGAAATTTTAGGATATAGTATTACAAATTATAAGTATATAATTTGTAAGCAGGATCTCCAGCTAGTGGGCAAGGGCCTGGTGTTACAGTGTGTACTAATAGTCCTGTTGGAGTTGTTGCACCACAACAAAAAGGAGTGGGAACAAATATGACTGCCATGCAAGGTAACAGATTTGGAGGAACTGGAGGTCCTATTGGTTCTACAAATGTTGTGGGTGGGCAAGAAGGTGGTATGGCTCAACAAGCTCAACCACCTGCACCAAGTCCAGCCCAACCTCAATCTGGTGCACCAAGTGGAGGTCAACCTGGTCCACAACAAGCTACTCAGGGCCAAATGCCTGGCACAGGTGCTCCAACTGGTAAATAAATTGGCTATTTTGAAATAAATTTATTTTTTCAAACAAATTTAATTAGTTGATATTCATGTTTTCAGGTACTACAAAATCAACTGCTGATCCAGAAAAGCGAAAACTTATTCAACAACAATTAGTTCTTTTACTTCATGCACATAAATGCCAACGACGTGAAAGTCAAGCAAATGGTGATGTTTG